TATAGTTATTAATTAATTTAATAAAATAAATCTTTGAAAATAAACCTAGTAAAATTTTAAAAGTATTTAAATTTATTAATTTATTCAAGAATATACTAGTACTATGCTGGCATATAAATTGATATTTAGCCCAAAAAATTTTGTCAAAGATCAGAACTAACTTACACAGCAGGTATAAATTGCAAACTTTTACCAAAGAGTAATAAACTGTCATAATTCCAGCAGGCCATCAAAAATATTTTAGATTAAAGACTATGTTTAGTAAATTTATTTAACAAAGATTAACACAATAATAATAGAGCACTTGTTAATTATGTTGAATTATTTCCAATAACTAATGTACTAATATTACGTCACTGATGAAAATGACACTGTATAAGTAAAGATGTGTTATATGTAGCAGTGCTACTGAGGTGCTAGTACTAAGCTATGTAAGCAGCTAATATTTTATTGAAAGTTTTAACTTTAAGTCTGCCAATAAACATATTCAAGCCAATGTACTGTACTGTAGAGCAGTGATACTCAAACTGTGGTCTTTGAACCAGCACAAATCTGAGAATAGTTTATTACTGGCCTATAACAAGATTTCACTTAAAATTTCATATATATATATATATATATATATATAAGCTAAAAGCCTTATATTATTTACATTTTTTTTTATTATTTGATGGAGAGAAAGGGCCTCTTATGAATCTAATCTAAATCCTGTATTTATTATAGGATATATTATAAAAGAAAACTAAGTTATAGCCTATAAGTAATTTGTATTAAGAATTTAAATGAAATATTTACTACAGAATTATACGGTATCGTATCTAAAATCGTTAGGAGTCGATTTGAAGAAGATTGTTATCATTGTATCATCGACGTCACAAACTTGGACTTTAGATGATTCGTCAGATACGTCTGTCGGTGCTAAAGCTACAAAACCTGGAAATAAAGGATCCTATACTCTACATCCAGGAATTTTATCATATTACGAAGTAATTAAACACTCTTATATAGTGATGAAGTAGATGAAATAATCGATTAGAACAATTTATCTTTCTTCTTCTTCTTTTTAATTTAGACTTGTAAATTGTTAATGCAAGATGGATGGACAATTAAATACGACCCCGAAGCTAAAGTGCCGTATGCTTATCGTGGAGATCAGTGGATCGGATATGACGACGTCAAGAGTGTTTCCGAAAAGGTATGTTTATGATTCTCATAACTGTTTATAAGTCTATTATTTAGGGCCTCGAGGCTCTAACTATAGACTTTTTTTTTTTTTTTAATTATTTGCTGAAGGGGTAGGCCTCTTAAACCTTAGGGCCTCAACAAGCTTAAATATGCTATTAAGTATCTCTAAACATACTTTTTAAAACAGTATCTTTCTCTAAATTTTTATCACCAGAAAAATTCAATAAAATCATTATTTCTCGTAAATAGGGTGGTTCAAAAGTCAATTTATTCAAGCAATTAACTATCAAAACATTTTTTTTTTAAATTATAATTTAATTTGTTAAAGCATTGTAATTTATGTATTTGAAATAAAAAGCTATCTGTTTTATAAGTTTGTAAGTACTGTAACTAACAAAGTAATTAAATAAGGCAACAGTTGAAAGAGTTTTTATAATAGTTAACTGATTTTTGGGCCACACTACAAATATATAGGCCTATATTAAATAATATTTATCTAGTATTTATTTTGCTGTTTAAAATTACATTTAACATTAATTGTTCATCTGGTATAGATGATTAGAAAATGGTATTGTTCCTTCAGATACAGACATTTTCCAGTTGGTTTGATCAACTAAAGAAACGTTTTCTATCAATTTGGGAGGAGAAAGATCAATTTTCTCTTAGTTTTCTCAGTCAGGAAATGAAACTAATCAAACAAAACATCTCCATGCATGAGATTCTCTATGACAGAATGCAATCATTTCATTCTTATATCTTACATAGAAGTGCAGTAAAGATATACATTGATTGATTAACTAAAATAATATATAATTAAATTTTAATTTTACTGTATATTTTTAGAGTTTTTTTTTTCCAATATTGAAACTTTAATTAGTTATAATAATAATAATAATAATTATCAGGGCCTTCGAGAGGGACTTTCGTATCACTTTTATCTTTTCGAACCCATCTTCAATTTAAGGCCTTCCAAATGAATCTGTTGATTACCCAATAAAATGTGGGGCTTGGTGAATCTATTGGCCTCCTGTAAATATAAAGTCTGATGAAATATGAGGTCTTCCAAACGACTACACTACTGAAAGGCCTGATAATTATTACATATAACTGTAAATTTATATTTATAATAAATTTTAAGTGTAAAATAATGTTTATAATTAATTTTTTTTCTACAGGTTAAATACGTTAAAAATAGTGGATTAGCGGGCCTTGGTCTAAATTCTCTCGATCACGACGACTTTCGAGATTTATGTGACAATGACATTTATCCTCTTTTAACGGCAATTAACGACGTTCTCAAATAAATTTTTTATTCTCATTTACTCGCTTTAATGACGATTAACGAACGTATAAACTTTGACATTAAAATAATAATTATGAAAAATAAAATAATCCTCTTATTTTTTTTTTTCATATACTTTAACACACATGTTCCTGCTTTTAATGGCAATTAATGACGTTCTTTACCGAATTTTTTTTTTTAAATTTATATTTTAATGACAATTAACTATGTTTTGGAGTGACTTTTTTTTAATCGCTTTAATGACAATTAACGATATTCTCCAACGAATTTCTTCACGTAAATACTTTAAAATTCGATTTTTAATTTTATAACTTGGGAAATAAAATTAAATCTTTGAAACAATTCTCTTATTTTTCATATACTTTGACACACAAACACACACACACATACATTTTTTTTTTCCTATAATTTAATCCGTATCAAGCGGAATTTGATATCGAATAGCAGATGATACTGTCAATCACAATAATCGATCGCATTTTTCTAACATTCTTAAGAATATTAAATTTAAGAGAAATATATATTTAATTTTTCTTTTAATAAAAAAAAAATAATAATAATAAAATATCAAAGATTTTAATTTATTTAATTTTTTATTTTATTTATGTATTATTTATTTATCTATATCCAATTATTACAACATAAAAAAAAAGAACAGGAAAAAAAAAAGAATCTATTTTAAAAAATTCTATTTACTGTAGATTTTATTGAATATATAATTAAATATATTAAAACATAAAATATTCTATCGAATATTTTACACGAATTTCTGTTAATTTTGGACGAATATCTACAGTATTATGGAAGGAATATTTTTTTTGTTCTTTTTAAGTAATTCATCTAAAAAAAATTAAATTATTTATTAATTCTATAAGTCTTTATGTCTTTTTTTTAAAGTTTTTTTTTTTTGTTTTTTTGGATTGAAGAATCATTTATTTGTGCGAAGTCGGCAGAGAATGCTTCTGCAAATCGATTATATACATATGGCGTCACGCTTCTTCTTCCTACTCCTCCTCATCTTCGTTGAAATCACAATATTGTATCCAACATCAACAAACTCCTTGATCGTGCTTCATCCTGTAAAATTAAATTTACTTTATTTACTTTATAATGTATTATTATATAACGAAACACCTGCGATACGTTATTATATTATCATTCAAACAAACAGTATTGTAGATACTTTTTTTTCCCTCCCCCCCGGATATCAATCTCTCAAGATGTAATTTAGCATTTGTTTTCTTAAATTTAAGGAGGGAAAAAAGCTTAAAAAGTAAGAAAATTAAGAAAAAAGTGTGAAAAAATAAATAAAAATAAAGAAAAAACTTCTCAAAGAAGTGATCTATTCAGTGAAGTAGAAGACAAATATCCGGAATTCTAGGAACTCCAATAATAGTTTCGAGTTCTAAAGATTGAAATGACCTATAAAAGGCACAATTCCTATATATTAATGCCTTGTAGTGCTATAACTATTTTTTATATATTGCCGAATAAGAAAACGAAATGTATACGTCTGTGAAAACCGGAATTATATCAGGGAACATTTTGATGTTTAAAATATTTATTAAAAAAAATTAATTTAGTTTAAAATATTGTTTTATTTCACTTCAATAAAAAGGAAATATTATCGGTGTACACTATCTTTCCTCTTTTTTTTTTTTTTTGTGAATTAGATGCGAGGCTTTTTAACTGTAGACTCATAACGCGAGGCCCTAAGTTGAGGCTTGTTTATCTTATGTACAAATTGAACATTGTTATATTGATGTTTCCGATTACTTACATGTAAATTCTCATCATTCTTATATAAGAACGATGAGAAATGGATCACCATTGTTGTTATATTAGGGGATAGAGTTTACTCAAAGTTCTAGGCTGAAGAAAGAAAGAGAAGGAGATGATGAGAGAGAGGAGAATAAAGTGATGAGAAGGATGAAAATAAATACGAAATTTATTGAGAAATATTTACATACCAAACGAGAAATGATGAATTTATCCATTCTCCTACGGTACAAGAATTATAACAAGGATTTACATGTGAAAAGTAAAATGTGCACATCTTCGTCTTTCTTGTTAGACACGTTATCACGGTTTCAACTTGTTAGATGCGAACAAACGATTTAGTATAGATTCAAATACAATCTTAGAATACGAATATCTTTCTATTGTATTCCTCACTCGAGAGGCAATGCTTTATATTTCACGAACCAAAAGAGTATGGAGTGACATATAAATAGAAACTCGATCCACAAAGCGAAGATTTAACTTGTTATTTTCTTTTAAGTCGTTCAACCATGCAGAATACGAATTTCTCGACGGACGTGTTAAACTATATGTTTCCCTCCTACTTCTATGACAAGTACACCATTTTATATCGTGGGGGTAAATTTTTACTCAAGCTTAAACTTAAAACGAACGTCAAGCAACACTTTACAATTCGTCTGTTACAGATTTAGAATTATAAAATTTTATATATTTATATTTTTAACATTTAATTATATTTCGAGAATATTAAATAATAAAATTTTGATAAGAAGCTTATTTTATGAAGTATTTAGTAAGTTTCTTGATTTATTATCGTCTATATGAAGTGTGATAAATGACTTTTATTAATACTTTTACTTAAATGAAATCATATAAATAATAAACAATAAGAAATAATGTGAACTATCAACAAAAATTTGGAGATAAAACAGAGAATGTGGAACACTCATTAATTAGATTCAATGGCATCATTAATCATTTATTATGATCTTATAGATGGTAAAACTTATTACAGTGAAGTGCTAATATCAATAACATTTTATAAATGTTGATTTTAGAAAAAAAATATCATTAAATTTTTCTCTTGATAAAAGTATATAAAATCAATTCTATAATTACTATAATTAAACCTAATTAATTTTAATTATTTTGAAGATTGATTATAATGCTCATTACAAATTATCCTTAATTTATGATTTTAATTATCAAATTACATATAGCTTATGATTTGAAAGTAGTAACATTGTTAAAAATTCAGTGAGTTTGTGAAGATCTCAATCTCTTCAATCATCGGGATTTTCAAAATATACTGATGATCCGATCCACTTCGAAATTGGATTCTTCAGAGGAATTCATTCAATGAATGGTCATACTGAATTTGTATCATTAAACACTGTCAATACGTTTGTGTTGATTCATCAGTTGGATTCCTCTGATGAATCCAAGTCTTATGCGCACTAGCTACTTCAATCATTTGGCTTTCATGTTCTGAGTACTGAACCCATGTAGTGAAGAGAAGTTGTAGGGTCTATCTAACACGAGAAACCATTACTATTAAATTACGTCATGTTTTTACGACGCTATAAATTTAAGCGTACACCATGACAACATTAAAAATCTCTTCTATAAATCTGCATTTTCGAAATAAATTTGAAAATGATAATAGAAAATGTTAATTTATAGAAAAAATAGAGATATTTCTGAGTAATTCAAATCTGGCAGCGGAATTTATATTTCAAATAAACCTCGCTGCCAGATTTGTACATTGCTGTTCTCATAATTTGAATTTAGTGATCAACGACAGTGTCACCAAGGTACAAGAAGTCAGACAATTTTATAAAAAGTTAGAAAAAATTTTTGTTTTTTTTTCAGTTCTGTTAGGCGTTGGACAATGTTAATGGAAACGAATCAAACCAACTTAACAAAAGCACTGAAAAGAGTTTGTCCAACAAGATGGTCTTTCCGTATTAATGCTCTTGATGCATTACGTTCTCGTTATTTTACTGTAATTAAAATATTGACATATTTATCATTAAATAGAAAAAATTATGATGAGCAACGTGAAGCTAAAAATTTAATTAATTATTTTAAACAATTTTTAACTATTATTTTGATAATAGTACAAAGTAAAATACTCGAACCGATTAATACAGTCTCGAAAATTCTGCAATGTGCTAATGAAGATATAGAGATTTCTCTATATCTTCATTAGCACATTGGAGATTTCTCTATATCTCCATTGAGATGCTTTCATCACTCCTAACCCAATTCCAGGACTTAAAGAATAATTGGGAGTTTGTTAAAAACGATGCCTTTGATATCAGCAATATGGAATATTGAACCTTCTTTTTCTAAAAAAGATTACATCGTGTGAAAAAATTCTTTGATGAATTACAGGTAGATGAGCGCATTGAAAACAGTGAACAATGTTTCAAAGTCGGTGTAATAATGAATCTAACTACAGTAGAGCGTCGATTTATCCGAATCAATTGGGAACTGGGGTGGTTCGGAAGATCGATGTTTCGGATAACCGATTATGTACAAAAGAATATATTAACCTATCCCATGTTGAAATTTTTCTCCGTTGCGTGTCGCTTCGCGTTGAATTTTCGTCGATGTTAAGTCTAACGAAGACTATTGCATCGTTAAAAATTATTTTTTTATTTTGTACAAACAAAATAAATATATTGAAAAATCTAAAAACAATAAAAAATTATACTTCAGAAGTTAATTTAGTATCAAAAACGTAAAATATTTGAGTAACCCAAAACATAGCCAAAGATTGCAGCTTTAAAAAATTTAAATTTGCCGACTGGAATTCTTTCGGATAATCGACGCTCTACTGTATTTGAATCCGCTCGAGAATTATGTACACCTTTTAAATGCTTATCACTTGCATATCTTGTCGCATCATCTGATAAAAATATACTGGAAAGATCAGAATTGTTACAATTGGCATATCCCTTCGACATTTCACCTAATTTTGGACTTCAATTGCTTTGATTTAAAATGTGTTTTAAGACTCACTTAAAGCTCTATACGCGAAGTTGCCGAACTAATTTTAATTCACTTCAGCCTCAAGTGGCTTCTTCGACATTATTGCAGCATGCCTCATATTTTTTAACTTTACCGGTGACAACACGACATCAGAACGAAGTTATTCAAAAATGAAATTAATCAAAACGTATTTAAGAAGCAGCATGTCATAACACCGTCTTAGCTCTTTGGCAACTATTGAATATATCAATTGAAACAACAATAGAGAGGTTGAGGCCGAAATTTTAAACGCGAAAACGTGTACGTCGGACGTTCAGCGCCGCTTTCCTGTAAGTCTAGAAGTTTGACAATGGTGTTTGGCTAGTCAGTGGAATCATACTCGACATTCCGAACACCATTGTCAAACTTCTAGGAAAGCGGCGCTGAACGTCCGACGTGCTCGTTCTCGCGTTTAAAACTTCGGCTTCAACCTCGCTAATAGCTTGTCAACTTGATTTGGAGAAAGTGATTGACCGATTTGCAAATGAAAAAGCGAAAAAACAACAATTTTGAAGCTTTTTTTTAATGTATTATTAGCGAGGTTGCGGCCGAAGTTTTCATCTCACAAACGTGAACGTCGAACGTCGAGCGCCACTTACGAGATAACGGCGCTCGACGTTCGACGTTCACGTTTGTGAGATGAAAACTTCGGCCGCGACCTCTATTATATTTTGAATATACAATTATGTTTTGTTTTATTATTATATTTGCATTTATTAAATTGAATATTTTATTATTGGAATGTCTTGAATCTCAAATAAATTATTATTAAGTAAAGTTTTAAATCGAAATAATTAGATATATATATATTTTTTAAATTAAATGTTTAAAACAAAGTTCGCGAGTCCTCTTCCGAGGAACTAGGGGGCGCACCGACTCTACTTGCTCCAGGGCGCTGAATTTGTAGCTAAGCCACTGGGTCAAGCCATCCGTACTCGATCATACAAACTTTCATTGTGAAGCGAATCGTTGTTCTTCCATATCTGGAGACACTTTCCATCGATAGATGTGATGGCCCTTCGTGCAGATTTTCACACCGCCCATTAAGATTAGAGCCGAACTTCTCATCTTGTTCCTCTGATTTAACGAAAAGATCAGGTAGGCCTATTTGGCTCAGATCTTAAAGAAATCTTCGTTAATTTTATTGTTTTAATTTTTAAATCATATAAGTACATCTCAAATGATGCAAGATTATTAAAAATTGACAATTAGCTCTATCAGAATCTTGGAGAAATCTTAATATTTTTAGATTTAGAGGTCTTTCAACTTTAGGTATGAGTGAAGATAGATTTCGATTAGGATCGAAGATAACATTTATGGTAAAATGGAATAAGAATCACATCATAAACTATAATTATCCTATAATTGGTTATTGGAGCATTCACATTTCGGTGTTCTTAACCAGAGCCGTCGAGAACTTATATGGAATCCGGTGGTAGAGTGGACCCCTTTTGCCTTTGTTTTTTTCATTGTGGGTCTTTAAGTTTTCTTCGAATCAAAAAAAAAAAAAAAAAAAAAAAAAAAAATAAAAAAAAAAAAAAAAAAAAAAAAAAAAAAAAAAAAAAAAAAAAAAAAAAAAAAAAAAAAAAAAAAAAAAAAAAAAAAAAAAAAAAAAAAAAAAAAAAAAAAAAAAAAAAAAAAAAAAAAAAAAAAAAAAAAAAAAAAAAAAAAAAAAAAAAAAAAAAAAAAAAAAAAAAAAAAAAAAAAAAAAAAAAAAAAAAAAAAAAAAAAAAAAAAAAAAAAAAAAAAAAAAAAAAAAAAAAAAAAAAAAAAAAAAAAAAAAAAAAAAAAAAAAAAAAAAAAAAAAAAAAAAAAAAAAAAAAAAAAAAAAAAAAAAAAAAAAAAAAAAAAAAAAAAAAAAAAAAAAAAAAAAAAAAAAAAAAAAAAAAAAAAAAAAAAAAAAAAAAAAAAAAAAAAAAAAAAAAAAAAAAAAAAAAAAAAAANTCAATGGTTTTTGTTCATTGTATATATATTTTTTAAATTAAATGTTTAAAACAAAGTTCGCGAGTCCTCTTCCGAGGAACTAGGGGGCGCACCGACTCTACTTGCTCCAGGGCGCTGAATTTGTAGCTAAGCCACTGGGTCAAGCCATCCGTACTCGATCATACAAACTTTCATTGTGAAGCGAATCGTTGTTCTTCCATATCTGGAGACACTTTCCATCGATAGATGTGATGGCCCTTCGTGCAGATTTTCACACCGCCCATTAAGATTAGAGCCGAACTTCTCATCTTGTTCCTCTGATTTAACGAAAAGATCAGGTAGGCCTATTTGGCTCTGATCTTAAAGAAATCTTCGTTAATTTTATTGTTTTAATTTTTAAATCATATAAGTACATCTCAAATGATGCAAGATTATTAAAAATTGACAATTAGCTCTATCAGAATCTTGGAGAAATCTTAATATTTTTAGATTTAGAGGTCTTTCAACTTTAGGTATGAGTGAAGATAGATTTCGATTAGGATCGAAGATAACATTTATGGTAAAATGGAATAAGAATCACATCATAAACTATAATTATCCTATAATTGGTTATTGGAGCATTCACATTTCGGTGTTCTTAACCAGAGCCGTCGAGAACTTATATGGAATCCGGTGGTGGTAGAGTGGACCCCTTTTGCCTTTGTTTTTTTCATTGTGGGTCTTTAAGTTTTCTTCGAATCAAAAAAAAAAAAAAAAAAAAAAATCCCCAGCTATCCCCCTCTTGGCGATCCTGCTCTTCACAAAATTTGAATCACATTTAAGATTTGGATCTTATTTTTTAACAAAATTTGAATCAAGCTTAAGTTTAGAGTAAAGTATCTTTTCTGACTACTTCAAAATATAACTGTTTAGCGAGATCTGTAATAATATAAGGAATTAACTTACAGCTCTCATATTACCTGTAAATAAAATCATATTTATATTTATACAGTACAACCCCTCTAATCTGTCACTTTTGGGACTGGGGGTATGGTCGGAACGCAAAAAAGGTTGGATTATCAGAAAAAAGTAAAATAACAATCTTCCCCTTTGTCCAGTCTTTGTGCACCGCTAATTTTTCATTTAATGAAAGAGTAACGTGTTTACGTTTCACTCCCGACATGTTGAAAACACACACAAAACTGTACACGTACACACAATGTAAAACATATACTGTAGCGAACACAGAAAAACGCCATGGACGGTGAGTCACCGACGAGTCGGGACAAGTTTCTCGACTACGACCACGGTCGGATTAACCGGAGCGACGGACTAGCCGAGGGCGGACTAGAGGAGTTCTACTGTATATCTAAAAGAGAGAAGATAGGGCCAGCCATTCATAAATGTAAAAATACACCTTTTCAAGAACCCATAAAAATACACGAACAAAATAATTAAAACAAATAAAAATAATTTCTCACCACTTACCAAAGCACGCTTTGTGCACCAAAGAATAAATTTTGGAATCCCTCTATATCTGTGACACAGACCAAATGATTCTACTTACTTCCCTCTATCTGAACCTACACATTTATAACAAATAAATAAACATTTCTATTAAAAACATATAATTGAGATTATAGAGGGTTTTAACTGTCATTTCTGTATAAAATTTATATTTTTGATTCGTACAATATTAATATTTTATGTCTTAAAATGAATAATTTGAATTCAAATTTATTTAATAATTATTTTATAATGAATATAATTTAATTTATGAATATTTATAAATATCCAGAGTTCGAGTAATTTAATATCCTTTTGACATTCCAGTATTAAATCACATTAAATTTAAATTTGAAAAATTTGTATTTTTTGATAAAAAGGCTAACTATTTAAGCATGATTTTTTTCATCGTTCCGTTAGAGTTAATTATAATTATTTTATAAGGGTACACTCCAACATTCGTCTGTAATCCAACTCGAGGCACTTTATTCTTTATTCTATATCCATTGTTAGCTCTTTATTTCTCATCTCTTTCCCTTGTTGATTCTGATTGATTCTTTTTCTTTAGCTTTTTTCCCTTATTGGTCCATTTTTTCCCTTATTGGACTACATTCGAATTTCGGATTGAACTGCTGTTTAATTAATCATAAGTCTTATGAATCAGCACAAACTTATTGATGGTGTTACATGATACAAATCCAGTATGACCATTCATTGAATAAATTCCTACTAGATGATGATGATTTTGATCTCAATACGTTCGTATTGAGAATATAACATGATGTAAATTCTTTGATACCTCTCTCGGAACAAGACATTTCTAACTCAACGCATTTCCGGGCAACAAAGTATTTTTTGATTAGTACTGTCAACAATTCAAGAGTACAAGACGAATTTTTATATAATTTTATTAGAAAAAATACAACGCTGTTAATTTAATATTAAAATTATCCGAATAGGATAGTAAAACTCGATGAGAAGTGTAAATTTCCTATTTATAGTGTTTCTTTTTAGACTGAAATTTGAAAAAATTGTAGATCTATAAATTCCCACTGTCATCCGTCTATCTGTCCTTCCTTAATCTCGAGAACGGAGTTAGATGGATGAAACTCGAGACCAGATATAGAAATCGGGGCAGAGGTCCCTGATTAACTATATACTAACTCCCAATGCAAACCGATCATGCTATTTCAATTCAAAATTTTACCTAAAGGTGCTAGATAGATGATTGGTACGACTGTAATTTACGTTCGTACGATTGTTAAAGTTTAAACTTACGCGGCTTTATCAGCTATTTTTACTTAACATACATACCGTATTTTGATTAACGCGATTTTGATATACGCAGTAGGATCGAGGGATTAATTAACCACGTTAATCAAGGGCCACCTGTATATTTACTGTTGGTGATTCCATTTCTAAAAATATCAATATTTTGATGATAAACAGAAGATGGTGTTTTTCATCGATCAATGAATGTATTAACTTGTAAGTTTATTTATTAATAAGCCTATTATTCGTAATCTGATGTTTGTGATTTCTATATGATCGATATAATCCTGTAAGAATTCTATTGTTCAAGAGGATTCCTAAAATTTCCAACATGAAAAAGCTCTTTTATATTGTGAATAAGTAAATTTTTAGAATGTTTTTAAATCTAAGCATTTTGTAAACATATTTTAAAATATATTTATATGTATAAGTTTTTTACTGAATTTGACTTCAATAAACGCGATATTTCACTGTTTTCCTTCATAAAAACTTGAAATATCATTAAATGTTTTATACTATTATCGGCTTTCTAACAAAGAAATATTTATAAAAAAATTTCTTACATTATTGAACGAAGCTTAAAACTGTTAAATTATTTTTATCTACTTTTTAAACAAGGAACAATTCATTCATTTCATTTAAAAGGTTCTATCTAAGAGAAAGTAAATAAATTGTAAATAAATTGATATAAATCTTATAAGTTTAAATGTGTTAAAAGGAAGATTTTGTGACTTCTGCTCACAGTCTTTATAGTGTATCCTTCCACACAGACGTAGTTACATAATAATTAAGAAAGTAAATTTTAAATGGTAAAATTAAAACTGTACTATAATGAAACCAGATGCTCCGCCATTATTATTGTCTGGAATAGGAATCATTTTCATCTCAAACAATTATAAATATTTAATACATATAAAACTACCATCAAAATATATTCAGATTAGGACAAACTTTTAAATTAAAATATATTGTATTTGAAATAGTCGATTAAATCTTCGAAGCGAGAGAGAAATAACAACAGCCCTTCCCGTACACGGGAGTGAGAAAACTTGTTTGATTGACAGAACATAGATCACGTGTCATAGACGAAACAGATTCTGATTTCTGTATGTGACATAAATGAATTTCTGTAAAGTGTGACGCGTTTCCGTCACACAATCTACTGTACCCATGACGTAGAGGTATTTACATCAAAAGAATAACAGTTAATATGATGTGGTTATGTCAGGATACAAATTGACAAAGAAACCACAAAAATGTGTGAAGATCGTATACGAAAACCAATGAAAGAAACAGACATCAAAGAAGAAATATATTTGAATAGAACAGAATGGAAAATTGTCTAAAGATCAGAACATAACAGATTATATTAAATGTGCCTATTTAATATGTGTTTATAGAAACAAGTGGTTATAGCCTATTCATTTTATAATGCACGATTTCTTTTTCGCCTGGCTACTTCATTCCATCCGGTTAGTAAAAATTTCTGGGGTAATCACTGCTGTATGATTGTAATAATTTTTTTAATAAATATTTATTTATTAAAAGTTCGATATCAGTGTAAAACATTTAATGATATTTCAAGAGATTTTATGAAGGAAAATAGGGAAATATCGTGTTTATTGAAGTCAAATTCAGTAAAAAAAGGTATACATATAAAAATATTTTAAAATATGTTTACAAAATGCTTAGATTTAAAAACATTCTTAAAATTTACTTATTCACAATATAAAAGAGCTTTCTCATGTTAGGAATTTTAGGAATCTGCTTAAACAATAGAATCCTTACAGGATTATATCGATCACATAAATCACAAACATCGGATCAGACATAAATAATAATTACAGAACGTAGTGAAATATTACAATACATTCAATTTACAGAATTTTGGAACTATTTTCCTGTTATGCACAGTAATGGAAGATAATTTTATAAAAGTTTTATTACATAAGATATCTTCTCAAACAAACAATACTGACGTTCCTCCTAGATGCTAATTTTCCTTCGTACTTCTCTCTGTGTTTGTCGTAAAAAGAAAATAAGTATTGTACGAGTTCATATGCAAAGACTTGTCTTTGCATATGAACTCGTATAATACTTATTTTCTATTTGCTAAATTCGCCTTATTTTGAGAGTTGTCAAACATCGAATCGGCGTCTCCGTTTATTCATTTCTGAAATTGGAATAAATCAAATGTGCCGCTAAACCGCACTATATGCATTTATTTATTATATTATTTAAGAAAACGAATCGTTAAATTTTTTAGTTTGGTTTTATTCGTATACGGCAACGTGACATGAACGAACTGCTGAACGGGCAATGCCTCCCGGAAGGTTTTTTTTATGAGAAACTGCCCCTGTTTAGGTGTTACTAAATAAAAAAAATCCCGAAAAACTCTGCATGGCCATCCCGTTGGTGAACCCACGACCAACTACAAGAGTTCAGTGGTTTTATCCGCTATGCCACTGGTGGGCTAGACTTTTCGGCGTTCAGATTTTTGTAAATTCCGAACCATAAGGTTCGGCCTCATGGGGCTAAAACCAGTCGTGATGCCGCAAGATCCTAATATGCTTCGGCAACATAAGTTTATATACATATTTTCTGTCTTCTATTAATTAAGCTGATATTCGTCACGACGAACATTCAATATAAACGCGACTAGTCAAAAAATGAGAGTAAATTACAACTTTATTACTAGTTTGCGTATCATTAGAATATATTCTGTATTTTTAGTATCTAGTGTACTAGCGGTTATGGAGTATGTCGGTATTCAGCAAACTTAAAGCAATTCCATTAAAAAAAATGTATGAGGCCCAATAGAAACCTACGAAGTTCTTTTGCGACTCTTATGCAAAAAAAAAAGTCGCTCAACATTAGTCTAGACTCTAGACGATAAAACAAGTCTATGTGTTCATTGCAGATATTACAGAACGTTATTTGCTATTACTGGATCGTCCATCCTTAAAGGCATAGAAAAGCACTTAATACATTTATTTAATTTTTAATTTTATCACAAAATGTATAGTAAACATTGCATTTACGACCAAATTGGTTCTTGGAAAACCGTCGATAAACGAGCCGTCGTAATTCAAATTCTATTTCCGATAGGTTTACTGTGATTATTTGGGGTTCCATTTCCAGAAATGCAATTTAAGTACGTAATATCACATTAAGATGGCCGAAGAAAAGAAAAGGGAAAAAGACAGACTTAAATAAGGCATTTTATAAATCATAAAGAAAAAATTTATGCCAGTAGTAGAGTAGGAACCAACTAACTGTATACTTTCTATACAATTATTTTTACTATTTTTGAGATTATATATACAGTAATTTTTATTTTTTGCTTCATTTAAAGTTGGTAATATTTTTTTATTTATTATACTTAAATTTATTATATATAGGCCTATATATATAATATTTTTTTTGAATGGTTATTAATATGAAATTTGAATCTCTATTGTTAGGAAAAATGTTTACAAGTATTGAACACTAAATAAAAGTTTAAAAGAAGGACAAATTTCTATTATATCTAACTTGATTATTTACAATTCTATAATAAATCAATAAAAATTTTATCTCAATGAAATTATTAATTATCTCTTGAAACTTGAAACTATGAACATCAATGAGACTGCTGTTCATAGTTTTAAGTGATCAAAAAATATTGATTTTGTATCTGTCTCAGATTCAATGTTTTCTCTTGTCTTACTCCATAAATTCTCGTAGATTACAAATCAATTACTTTGAATTATTGGATAGAAAATATAATTCTTAAATTAAAACAGGGCGAGCAAAATAATACGAAGTATAATATACAATTGTTATGGATTCCAGTGCACACATCACGCTTCGATTTCTCTACAATTTATCCAATTTTATTCGAGATGAAACTATAAATTGTTTAATTGAGAGTTTTATATTGGAGATGTTCTTTTTCACAAAAGTTATTACACATTCTTCTAAGACTATGATAATGTATAAAGCCTTTCATTCAATAAAAAGTATGATTTTTTCTAATAACTGCGACATTATCTGATTATAGTAATATTCATTATAGCTAAAATTAATATTTTAAATATTTACTTCGAATTATTCAAATTTAATTATTTAAAATTTTGAAAAATATTCAAACATTTATTATCATTCTATTGATTTAACGAATATTTTAATAAATGTATGACTTTAATCATAAAAGTTCTATTGATATAAAATTCGTATAATTGTTTGATATATTTTTCCAATATTTAAAAATATTTATTATAATAATAATGGCTTATCGATATGCAATGTATCAATTTTTATATATAAAATGATCTATTTCTTTTTCCTTGCGTATAAATATAAAAATTCGATTATTTTCTTGATTGTAGATGGAAAAATCAATAAAAAATTATAGATGCTATTATTTATTTTATTTTTATTGCAATACAATATTCGGTTATTCCGAGAAAGACTACCTCTATAGAACCACAGAACAGTAACAAGGTCATATGCTTTTCCATTTGGACACATTATTGATTCCTGCCTCAAGATTGCATCAACATATTTTTTATTATTTATTTTCAAAATCTAATATTCTTACATACAGATAATACACGAATAATCGGCCCAAAATCAGATATATATATTTTTATTATGATTTATAAAGTGTTATATTTTTATGCTCCATATTGTTATTGTTGGCCTTCTCGATGTGGTTCATCGAAACTTAGATTCAAGTAGAATGAATAAAAAATATTCTTATTCTATATATTATTTTTTTTAAATTGCTATATGTATACAGTTTGAATCGCTGTTATTATAAAGAAGGAAACATATATTGAATAAAAGTTTAGAAAAAAATTATAATAGAAATTTTTGTCTCTGAGTATTTTAGTTACAGTTAAATATTAAATCAATAAAAATTTTATAAATGAAATTATTAATTTCCACTTGAAAATACGAGTCAAGCATACACATACGAAATTCAGACATGGGCAGCATCTACAGGTTCGTAATTCAAGATTTATTATAAACACTGAATCTATGACTGAATTCTATTTACACAGCTGGCTTAACGACGATTTCCCAGGAACGAAACGGCAGGAGGCCCCGATTAACTATACATGAACTTCCGGTTTGAACTGGAAGTCACGTTATTTTAATTCAAAATGTTCTCCTGAAATCAGGTAGATGATCGGCACGACTCCGTTGTTAACAGGAAAAGAATGACGTACAGGGGCAAAACACTACTAAAATTGGGAGCATTGTGACGAAAAATTGCAGCCCTTTGTAAAGATGTCACAATAAATAATTACTCGTTTTATTTATCTTACCCTATCCTATGGGTTATCCGAACCGTAGGCTTAGGCCTTGTGGGTCTAAGTAAAATACGGCTACGGCTGATTGCAGCGATTATTAACTATGAAAACACAAATTTGTGAAATATATACAGTACAATGTTCAATGCATTTCATATTAAGGAAAATAGCTAAAATATGAAAATAAATTTGTTTTTATGATTGTATGAAATGCCATTTTTTAATGCATTTTTTCTGTTGATAATTTCGATTTGATGATATACAATTAAAAAAAATTCACGTCTAGAAACAATTTCAATTGATGATAGTGTGACACTAAACATATAGAAAATTATAGATTTACCTTGGCTTCTAAACTATGATTTTCTAAAAACAGTTAGACTTCAGCTTTAAGGAGTTAACCTATCGCTTTGAGAGACGGTATCGATTCCGGGCAGATCGAAAAACCTGAGGAATTTTTGAAGTGGTCTGTCCCGGATACATTAGCCCCGCCTTTCCTATCCGGTCGATCCATTATGAGCCTGAGTGGCTTTTTTTGGACCACGATAGGCTTGAAAAAAAGCCTTTGTCCCCGCAAGATGGAGTCAAAAATGGATAAATACTGTATATAAATTAAATCGTAAAAGCGTATTAATTTATCACAAAAAACTTCTGTTTTATACAGTCGACCCCTCTATAACACTGTTGATTTTTCCGTTTTATATGAATTCCATGTTGTACCAGTCACTTAGATTTTACAAATACGTGTCCCGGGCTGTGAACGACTCACGTATTTGTAAAATCTAAGTGACTGGTACAACATGGAATTCATATAAAACGGAAAAATCAACAGTGTTATAGAGGGGTCGACTGTATATTATTATTATTTTTTTTAACTGACAACCTTTAATAAATTTTAAACCTAAATTATTTTAATTACAAAATGACAATTTATTTTACTGTTTAACAATTGTCGGCAGGTGGCGTTGGAAAGCAAATATGGTGGTACAGCATGGTTTGCGGTGTTTACGATTAACTCGTTTTGCGAACACGAGATTTACAAGAAAGTTTTTGATTTGTTTAGATAATTTATTTCAAAGAAATATTAATGAAAATTTGAGAAACTTTCAGACGTCTTGTACGTTAATATAAATATAAATATATATGATATGAACATTAAATAACCATTCATTCTAATTAGTAAAATTATTAGTAATAATGCAATAATTCATTGTATAATATTTATTGAAATTTATTTTCTTTAGCTCATTGCTTTGATAAAAGATTCGAATGGGAAGATCCAAAGTCTGAAGATGAAATGTAAGCTTTTATGAATTACTATCAGTTTGTTCTAAATTGAAAGTGTTTGAATTTAAAAAGGAAAAAGAAAGAAAATGGAAAATAAACACATTTCAGATCTTTTAAAACTGATATAATAGTTGACAAGTAAATGACTGTCAGCTCAAATAAATATTCTGTGAGATTTGAAACTTTAAAGAGGCATTTAATTTTGTAGGCTGCACAGTCAAGCATCAGTCTACTTCCATGGAGATTCAATTTCAAATCTGGTCTGGACTTCAAGATTGGTAGTACAGATCAAAGTATTGTATTCCATTTCTCGTGTTGTGTGATTTCATTTTGTTTTGTTATATATTTTATCTTTGACTTTTGAGCATTTCCTTTGTTTAAATTACTTTAATTTATATGATAGTGACATCAATATGATAATCACATGTACTCATTATTTTTTGAAGATAAGTAAACATTGATAGAAGTACTGTTTATATAGTGGGTGATCGGTTAACGAACAGTTCAGATAGCGAACAAATCAGATAACAAACACTTTCGTGAAAGATTTTTATGATTGGACAAAGAAACACTTTACTGAACAAACATAAAAAGATGCAACAGAAAATAACAAATACTGATTGATTTTCCCTTGTTTTCAGGTAACAATTCGAAACCTTTTGGAGCGTGGCAGACATAACATCAACGCTCAACCCGATACCGATCAGATAGTAATCCTTTGAATTTTGAAACTCTCCCTTGTAATTCCAGCTTTTTGTTTACCTTTCTGACAAATAATTTTTTATAGTCTTTGCGAGACTGTCGGATGGGCACTTTTTAAGTTTTGTGTCGGGGTTTATTTACGAATGGTGAAAGTTTAACTATCCCATTGGATAACGTTTTAATACCAAATTTCAAATTTCATCCAGGCCTTGTATTTAAATAATTTTTTGTGGGCAAATTGATTTCTGTTCACTGATTTTTGTGAGTTCTTTTCTGAACTTTTTATTTAAAAAAAGAAACTGATAATATTATGGAGCCTAAAAAGAGGAGTGTCAAGAACTGTGCTCACTGTAGAAACCAAATAAGAGATAATAGCCAAGGTAGAAAGTGGGCACAAGATGTCTGATATTGCTAGGCAGTATGGCTTGAACAAGTCTACAGTAGGCACAATCTTAGCTATGAAAGATATATCAAGAAATCTCAAGCTGCTAATGGAGTAATGAAAATCACATCTGAGAAATAAAGAGCATTTTAGAGCTCATAATAGAACCTGAAACTGATCTGACGACAGAAGAACTCCAGGGATGTCAGAACAACGAACATCCAAGTGGCATCCAACATCCAAACCAGAATAAGGTTAATGGGGTTGGGGATCTCTCCAATTCCAATACTATTAATTACTTTCGAAAAATCCTGAAGAAAGGAGAAAAGCAATTGACATTGGACAGATTCTTTAACCCCCACAAATAGAAAAAGCATGACTAATAAAGATGCAAGACTGCATATATACCATATTTTGACAAGTATAAGTCGCACTTTTTTTACTACTTTTTGGGGCTCAAAATCATGGTGCGTCTTATATTCGACAGGTAACCATTTTTACAGTGAAATTACCTACAGTAGTGGCCACTCTAGGGTCCAACCTGTGCAGTGGTCTGTTAAACAGATGGTCCCTCAACCGACTGGCTAGAGTATCTAGATTATCAGAGTAGCGACACACGAGTCATCGCCGCCATGTTCTGTCGACTGTCATCACGTGACCTCTGAGTTTACATTAAGAAATGACGATTATTTCAGTTTAATAAAAGTATCGATTCATCCATCCGTCATATTCTTGAATAAAAAAACAAATAAAATGTATCTTTAGACAATCCCATTAAAACAGTGTTTTTCTAAATTTTTTGTCTCAAAAATAGGGGTGCGTTTTATACTTGACAGTAACTTATACTTAATAGTAATATGTTAAGTTACTTATACTTAATAGTAATAATTACTATTAAGTAACTTATACTTAATAGTAATATGTTAAGTTACTTGACAGTAACTTAACATATAAATAAATGTAGTAAAAAAGTATATATTTTTTATTTTTTGGAGTCTCTGGAACGAATTAATCAAATTCCCATAAAAATCTATGGTAAATTGGTAATCGGTTAACGAACAAAGTCTTAGAACGGATTATGTTCGTTAACCGATCACCCACTGTATTTAATGCCAGTTTATTAAAATAGTATATTAACAACATATACTTGACAATAAGTCTTGATAACATAACAATACTCATTCATAGTAGGTAAAATTATAACCAGTACATAGAGGTAAGAGTAGGAGGTGCCTTAGTGGTCTAATTGTGAAGCCAACAATTACCATCTTGGTTCATCAAAAACATTGATTTGTTGCAGTGTTACTATTATCAGTTTTTGTGATTTCTCAAAGTTGAAATGATATTTGTGCATTAGTGCATTTTATCCATCAACATTACTTAATGTCACTCTTTAACATATTAAAATGATGATGGTAATATATTAATATAACCATTGAATGATATATATATATATGTAAACCCAGCAAGTCCATTTTAAAAAATATGCACATCACAGTAAGTCAACTCAAAAATATTAATAGACCTACAGTCATACAACTTGCAGTTGAAATTTTATATGAAGCACTATATAAAAAATTATTTTTTTCATTGGATAATCACTACATTTTATCCATTCTAATATAATCACTACATTTGTTTAATCCATTCTTATCATTAAATCTTACTTTAATCTTAAAAGTTTTATTTTTCAATTAACCTATTACCTCTCACTATGCAAATTTGTCCATCATTTTAGCTTTTCTGGTTAGATGTACTTTTGAAAAGAATGATGATTTTGTTATCTATTTCTATTTTGTTTATGAAAGATGATGTTTGTATTCTGCAAGAATAAATGTTTTTTAAAAGAAAGGTAATGAAGTTATTTTAAGTGTGTTAGAAGACAAAATGGAGTTGCAACATAGCAATGAATAGGTGTGCTTTTGTAATGTGGATTAACACATGAATGCACAGATCAAAGGTTAGTTTTTATCATTTATTCTAGATTTGAGTTTTGTAGGGTTGAAGAATTGTCATTTAGTTTAGCCTGCAATTTTTGCTTTAATGTAAAAAAATTAACAAAAAATGTACTTAATTGTAAGTTTTCAAAAACTTGGTTATGGTCATATTCAAATAAATATTGCTTTTAGATTTTTTAATCTAAAAGCAATATGCTGTGATGTTGGAAGGTTAACAAAACAGTACTTATCTGTAATATTTTAGTAAATTTATTTTGGAAAAGTTCAAAGAAATTTTGATTTTGAATTGTCAAACAGCATATCTTTTCTAATTTACCATTTCTTTGTGATGCATTACCATTGGAATGTGACATTTGACACATCATACAGGAGTTGAACATAACAATACCATAAAGATAATTTATATGATAATGTTTTCTTTATTTCTGATTACAATATATTTAAAATTTCAGTGTCACTGTAAACTTTATATTGAAAGATGGAAAACAAGTAACAGTTAATGGAAAAATTGGAGACAATGTTATGTATCTTGCACAAAGACATGGCATTGACATAGAAGGTATATTAATTTTTAAAAAATTAAATTTAATCTTATTTAAGACTAAATTTACTTTTACAAAAATGAATTTAATTTCAGGTGCTTGTGAAGCTTCTTTAGCCTGTACTACTTGCCATGTTTATGTTGATGACAATTATTTAGAAAAGTTAACTCCTGCTGAAGAAAAGTAAGCATAACTTTAAGTGAAGTTTTTGCATTGCATATTAAATGATTTTAAAGTTTCTTATGATTTTTAAATGAATGTAAATTAAATCAAATTTATACACAAAAGAATTTATTTGATAAAATTCATTTTTTAACATTTTATTTATAACCTTTCCTTCAAAAAATAACTAATGTAAAAAATTATTGAAATTGAAATGATAAATCAAAATTTAATTTTCAAGATAGTTGGCTGGATTTCTTTCAAAATATGTAATAGGTTTTTTTATGTACATTCGATGATTTGTTTGAAGTACTTTCAAGAGCTTGAAGCCTGTAAAGTTAAAAAGTATGTAGGTTTTACGTTATAGTTTGCTAAAACTTCACTACAGATTACACAAAATGATCAATGCTCATCATTCATTTCTTTTTAATATGGAAAATTTATATTTTAGATATTCTTCAACATATAACATATTTTTGTTTTTTTAGTTATTGTATTTTTCTGCATTATTTTGGTTTTATTATTTTTGTGATTGGTACAGCTTTCCAATTCTGCTGAGTCTTTCTTAACTTTTTAAACACAGAACAAACAAAATTGGCCAAAAGTGCCTTAATTCGTTTAATGAAATCAGCTGAAAGGAAAGTTGTTTTATGGTTTCGCAATACAAATTTTTGTCATAGCCTGAGGGGTAAAAACAATTATCTCCAGGTACATTGATTATTCTTTAAGCACTGAAAATTTCTTCTTTCTATCAATCTATATTCTGGGTAAAAATAACAAATTTTTACTAACATAAATAAATTCAATTGAAAAAGTATTTAAAAGTGTTCATTCTGTTCAAATTACCTATATATAGTATAGAGTTCAAAAAAGAAAACAAGTTTCTGCTCTGTGGGCGGTAAGAGAGTCTTTTTATGAAGCTTATCATGGATTTGGCCACCACCTAAAAAATTTCTGGGACTTTTCAACTCGTTCCAAGTTTGTTCCCAGGTATACATATGGAGTAGCAATACAGACAATAGAACAATCTACAGTGCATACTAGAACTCTTCACATTTTTATCATTTTGGTTATTGGACTTTTAATTTAAAATTGATGTAATTCAGAATATATTTACTCATAAATTGTTTAGGCTGAACTATAATGTCCCAAGTTATGCTGTCTAATTTGTTAAACCTTATTGTTAAAAAGATTATAAAGTTTATTTTTCAATATATAAAGAATCCAATTTGATTGGTGGATATTAAAAAAGGAAAACCAAATTACCTGAAGAGATTGAAGATTTAAGATGAATTAATGTTGAATAAAATTTGGTTTATCTGGATTGGCTTTTTTGAATGATAAGGAAGAGTGTCAAGTGAATTTTAACTTATATTGAATAATGTGTAATGTGTTTAATAATAAAATAGACTCTACTCTCTACTCTCTCGCTCTCGTTTATATGGAGATTGCAGCCTATAGACTACT